CTTTTCTCTCAACAGAAAAAGCTTGTTTGGATCAGTCAATATTTTGTCTTCCTTTTTTTATTACTTTGCTTCATTTAAGCTCTACCAGACGTGGGTGAAGGCACTTTCACATGCTGCAAATGTATTAGCAAATTGACACAAGTACTTCCAGTTTCAAGATGGTAAAACTAAGTACATTTAGCAGTCTCCCTCTCCCATGCCAAATCCTAGAAATGATAAAAAGATACCTTAAAAATAATAAATAGGGGCCAGCCTGGTAGCATAGAGGTTAAGTTCATGTGCTCCGCTTCAGCAGCCCGGGGTTCATGGGTTTGGATCCCAGGCGCGGATCTACGCACTGCTTATCAAGCCATGCTGTGGCAGGCGTCCCACATATAAAGTAGAGGAAGATGGGCACAGATGTTAGCCCAGGGCCAATCTTCCTCAGCAAAAAGAGGAGGACTGGCAACAGATGTTAGCTCAGGGCTAATCTTCCTCACCAAATAAATAAATAAACAGCCACTTAAAAACAGGAAGAGAAATTCTCACAGGGACAGAAACTATGTGTAGACAGTATCAAGTGAAGAAAGAAGCATCAACCCAGGATGAATATGGAAGCCCAGGGAAGAATTCCCACAAAGAAATGAGGGAACCCAATACACAGAGGTAATAGAGGCCTCCAGAGAAGAATGGGATAGCAGAACAACAGACAGGAGGAAACTGGCCTCTCTCAGAAGCAGGCAGACACTGTGGAGTCATCTACCCACTCTCACCTCCAGGGCCACACTCTACCTCCCACCCCCACACTTCCTTTCCCTGAATTCCACACACCTATAGCCTGGTGGAAGTGTGCTTTGCAGAAAGAGAGGTAAGATGGGGCCCTGAGTGGCTGGCAACACCAGGGAGGGAGGAGCTGTCAGAATGCATTATTCCTGCTGGAATATTTCAACCATGTCCACACTCTCATTGACCAATGCAAGCTCCTGAAAGAACTTTTTCTTCTCCCATAAAGTGAACTGCAAAGACAGCTGCTAGTCTTTCAGGGACTCTTGAGTGTCCCAAATCAAAAATAAGCTGAAAGTTTAAAAATGAAATTACCTGATAATCATTGAGTGCCAACACCGTTAGAGATAATAGATGCAAGAATGTATACCAGAGGAAATAGAGCTAATAGGACAAGACTCTAAAATAATTAGTATAATTAATACCTTCAAAGAAATATGTGAAATATTGCTTATATAAGGCAAGAATAAGAACCAATTTTAGTACTAGGAAATGTTGAATCAAACAAGCTTTCTGAAGCAAAATTTGGCAACATTTATCAAATCAGTAAAAGCACGTATATCTTTGATTCAGCAACTACACTTCAAGAAATCTTTCCTAAGGGAGTAATTAATGCTATGTACAAAGAGTAGCTACAATAGCATTCACTGAAGATTTTTTATTGTGTCAAGAAATTTGAAATATCCTACCCTCAAAAAATAGGGGACTGCTTAAATATATACAATATCGATGTGATGCAGCCATTAGAAATAGTGATGTAGGAAAAGACTTTAAACCATGGGGAAATGTTTACAATAAAAAATGAAAAGGCATGTTATAAAACAGGTATGTATGACTAATACTAATATTAACATATGTGACTATTCCATTTTTGAAAAAATACCTATATGTGCATGTACACACACACACAGTCACAGATTTAAAAAGAAAATAGGAAAATAGGAAAGAAATAAACTAATATCTTAATGGTGTGGGTTTTTCCCCCTGGCATGGTCAGATTACGGGTAATTTCACTTTTCTTCTTTTTACTTAACTCTGTTTTCCAAATAAGCCACAGTGAAAAGAAATTTTAAAATGTTTTTCCAGAAATGATGAAACTTATGTCTCCCTAATTCTGATTACCAATCTTTAAACTTTCAAAAGACAAATTTGGGAATGGGAACAATAGGGGATAGACTCCTCCTATATTGGGTTAAAAGACCAAAAATACAGCTTCCCAAAGTGGATACAATTTTCCCAGGGCTAAAAATATTTCAAGGATTTCAAGAAAGCTATCTCAACATCTGTGCTGATTCTAAGATTTTCTCAGAAGTTTGAAAACTCTCCCACATATCTGGCCCATGAGGTATAAAAGCAAGATTGTAAGAAATATTTTTTCAAGTTCTGTGCTGGTTCAGCTCATGCATTTCAAAAGTGAGGGTGGGAGCTCATACCATTCCCAAGGAGGTGAAAATTGGCTTATGGAGGAGGTGAAAAAATCTTAGCTATTACAATGGTTCATGGCTCTCAAAATTCAATCCTACCTAACAATATAAACATATACAGTATACCTCTGGTACTGAAATTTAATGGGGTGAGGGAAAGGTTATTAGGGGAAAAAAGAGGTCTAAAAGCTCCTGAGGGGAGGAGAACAACAATGAAAAAAGGGTTGAGAAACATTGTTCATCTATAAGAACATAAAACCCTAATTCTTTTTTTCATATACCCCCTCTCTTGGTTAGGTTGCTTAGAGCCTCAGTATTCACTATTTTTATTCTCTTTTTAATTATACACATGTACACACATGCATGTACACATGTTCCTTTGTGTTTGAAAACTCTACCAACTGACTCTTCAATAACTTGCTTCTATATTGAAATTTCTAGACCAAAAAGAATAATATTTTATAAAGTGCTAGATTTTTTTCTAAGCATTGTGTTGCTGTCTGCTTTCATATATGTGTTTGAAGCTTTGAAGAAGTGTCTACTGATCGCTATTAACATTAGCATCAAGATTTTAGATAGTTTTCTTTCGGCTCTGGAATCACAAACTATTATGACTCTTGTTATAAAGCACAAATTAGGGGCTCAAAATATTTAACTATTCTTTACTACTTACTGAGTCCTTTAAAATATGAAAAACATGCATTAATTATAAGAAAGTAATTAAATATAATATTAAGAGCATGCATTATAATATTATCTTCTCGCTTGTAACTTTACAGTCTCAAAATGGCTGCTAATTCTCAATTAAGTCCAGGCAACAAAAAGAAGGAAAGGCCAAGGGGCAAGAGGTAAAGGGGGTTAGAGGAAACCAGATAAGTCTAAACAACTTCATTGGGAAAATAAAAGTTTTCCTAGAAATCCCACTCAAAAGATTCCCACTTATTTGTCTCTGGCCAGAACTGTGACACCTGGCCACTCCCCTCCAGAAGTAGTTCAAGAGAAGAAGGTCGGAGATGGGGGCTTCAACCAGCTCCCCAACAGTGCCTACCACATTTGTTCCTTTACATCATTCAGGTCTCTCTGATCACATGCAGACCCCTCCTTTACACTCTGATTTGCTTTTGCGATGATGTAAGCACTGAGGACAGAGCAGTGTACAAAACACAAAATCTTCCCTTCTGGGCTTACAGTGCCCTATGTGTTTTCTTCATAAACTACAAAAAATTATATTTTTTTGGTTTACTTGCTTATTATCTGTCCTCCCCTCTAGAATATAAGCTCCAAGAGGGTAAAGAGTTTGTTTTTATTCACCTCTGTGTCCAGAATGCCTAGAACAACAGTTCCTGGCATACAAAAGACATTCAAATTTATATTGAATAAATGCATTACTGAATCAGGAAATGAGACGGGGAATTTAAGGATCTCTGCCCAAGATTAGACAGCTAATAAGTGGCAAAGCTAATATTTTAAGAATCTCTGACACAAAAGAGAGACATATTATCTCTTAAAATTCTATACCAGATCCTCCCTACCTCAGTCAGTGGTGCCATCATTACTGCCATTCGTGTGCTGACTGCTACGGGCTCAGGAGAACCAGTCATGAGCATCAATTTCCAGCGTAGCTCTCAGTGATATCACGTTGGTAACTTGAAACAGGCCATGGGTAGGAGTATTTACTCCATGGAAATTGGCAGATGTCACAAATCAGGGCTTTCTTCTCCCCAGACAGCTGGTTGCTAAGCATTTACCAGCAAACCACCAGATATTTCCCATCCCACTTCCTCGTCTCCATTAATGCTGAGAACACTTACATGAGCATTCCAGACTTCTCTCCCTAGAAGCAGTCCTTGTTTTGCTGCTTCTGGGGAACTCACTGAGTTTTCAGCATGGTGCCCTCCTCTTGCTTTCTCCACTTTTCAAATCTCTAAATCTGTGAACACGGATCAAAGCTCAACAGGGATGTGGCAAAACGGTGACCAAAAATTGTGACTATTCAGCAAACAAACCGGGCAAGATCACCAGGAGTAGGTGGCGAAAGAAAACAATAGAATTTATAACCAGCTCTGTGTCTATGAAAATGGGCAGGGGCAGAACCTTCTTTGAAAGAGACCACTGGTTGGCAGTCCTGGGCTTCCTCCGAGGAGGCATTAATCCCTTTGTTCTTTTTATATGAGGACAGTTAGTGCTGGACTGACTCTACTTGTTATTCCCCAAGGGACATTCAGTGGAACTTGTACGCTAAAACAGTGAATACCTGAATAAAAATTATATGAGAGTGCTGTAAAATAATTTTGTAAAGTGGCCGCTTCCACTCTAATATTAAACATAAGCTACATGTTTGTTTTATTTTATTTTGTTCTTGCTTTACAGAGTATATCTTTGATCCAGGAATATAAACTGTAATTCCTCTTCATGCTATAAAGTTAAAAAAATATATGTTGCTAACATTAGATTTCCAACAATACTCATCAAGTATTCATAGGTTATATTTTTTCCATTTATTATTCCTCCAACTCTCTTCTCCTGTTCATTCTCTCACAGTCTGGGTTAGATCGCCCCAGGGGCTCCAAGGTATGCAAAAGATAAACTAGGGAAAAAGCAGGAGAGGAAGCAATAATTACACCTTCTAGCACAACTTATCTAAGGCCTTGACATCACAGTGGCAGTCCCACACCACTTGCAAGAGTGTGTATGGGGTGGGGGGACATGCTTGTGATTTGATGGTGATAGGCAAAGACGGGAATTAGGACTAATGTAATATATAAAACACTAGCTATGTTTCTGGTGATTTATATTTGCCAGCTCAGTCAATTATCACAGTAGCCAGTATCATTTGTATTATTATCCTGTTTTTTTAGATAAAGAAACTGAAGTTCAGGGCTTTAGAAAACTTGCCCATAGTCACACAACTAGGAAGCTGCAAAACGAGAATTCACATACAGCCCAGGAAAGTTAGTGTGTCTTCTACTACCCAACACTGCCTCCAATGGAGACAGCACACCAGCTGCTCTTCATCCCACTAGGACCTGAAGAGGTCACTACCAAAATCGTGACTCACTCACTTTCCCGTGGAAAGCTAACTTGTAAATCCACCAAGAAAAACCTGTCTTCTTCTCTGGCCAACTTAGGGATCTCTTGCAATGGGCGGTCATCTGCAGGAATCATAAGAAATCAAACGTAAGTGTCAGAGCTGGAATTCAAACCCAGGTTTGTCTGACTCCAGACCCTGTCTATCTGCTGTTTTCACCCATCATACTTTTTTCCATTAATGTGAAAAAAGAAAGATCAAAATAAATCTAATATTACATAGAAATGGAATACTTATTAACTACATGTGTTTATTAGAGTTGTGTGTGTGCAGTTGTAATTCTTGAGACAGAGATGTGCATGGAAAAATGTCTCGGGTCCAGATAACCACCCAAACACCTGTGAGCATCTAGCCACCAAAAGATTTTAATAGATTAGCACCAACTCCCCACTTGCAAGCATAAGAAATGGAAAGTAAGCAACATTTGTATATTCTGAAACAAAAAACTACACTATGAAAAGTCTCACGGTCTCCCCATAGTGACACACTCAGCTTTCCTCAGTGTCACCGACTGTCTCCCCATCTGTGAGTCAGTCCCTGACATCCACTGCACAGCTTCATGTCTAAGCCTTCTACTAACCCACTACCTTCTGTTTGGAATTATTCCCTTGATGTGCAGCTCTGCTCTCTCACTAGCGTATCCTTCTAGAAAGCCACACCTGCAATTTCTTTGAAGTTCCCCTTTAATCCAGGAATGCCAGCAACAGACTCTCAGATACAGCGCCTGAGAATTCTCCAACCCCAGTATCCTGTCTTCTTCTCCTTCTTTAGGGGACTCCAGATGCTGCCAATTGTTCCTCCTAATTACTAGGCACAAAAAGTCCACTTCAGCGAGAGCTTTCAGAGTCAATTCTAATATCAACTCCTCATCTCAAATGAACTTATGTTTTCAGTTTTCCTAAAGAACACATTTCCAGGAGGCTTGACTTCAATTTTCTGAAGTAAGTTAGAGCCTATAGGAGCACAGGGGGCCAGGCAGCAGAGGGAAGAGGGTGCAGGGATCAGTCCTCTCTGGCTAGTTCAACTCACCATGCCTTCCATCACAATTAAAAGAACATACAATCTTAACAAACAGACAGGAACAATATATGATAACCTGGCATAGTGTATTTCTAAAAGTAATACTAGTAATTAAGTTTATTTTGGCTTTGAAGTGATCTAGATTTGAATTTCAGTTCTGCTATAGTGTTGGGCAAAGGTACCCTAATCTCTTCCAAAGCCTCAGTTTTTGCATCTGTAAAATAGGAATGGTGATAGTACCTAGCTCATTGAGCTATAATGACGATTAAATAAGATGAGGCTTCTAAAGTGCTTAGCATAAAACCAACTGCATACTTTTCAAAGAATATTAGTTATCATTGTTTGTTTTTATAAACTAAATTTTACATATCCCCCCTTGGCACATTACTGTTTCCACCGAGCATCTGTGACCTAGGTAAAGGAAACTCTCACTAGCAATCCTGAATATATCAGAGACTAACAAGTATCCCTCCTCTGACGGCCTTTGCCCATCCCTGATGGTTCTTCTCCTAATCCTCAGGCTCCAGTCCATGGAATTTTCTTGCCAGAATTTCCCAAAGGAAAGCTTCACTGGTTCTTAAAAAAAAAAGAGAACTACTTTCTGGGCCTAGTTTCCTGACACCTCTGGGTAGCTGTCTTCTTGACATAGAAGTGATTTCCCCCCCACCCCCATCATGTTCTAGCACCTTCCATCTTTACTGTCACTAATAACTGTACCTATTTCACCCTTATACCTACTCTGCACACTGCTGTGTGATTTTTTGCATATGGGCACCTAGAGGAAAAAGCAAGAGAAAGCCAAAGTTATAGAGTAGCAGGCAGTTTTCCATCAATTTATTTGATCCTCATCTTACAAAAATCCTAGAAATAATGAGAAAATTGATCCTCCTCCCTCCTACCCTCACTGCTGATTACAAATAAAATGTTCTGAAATGCCCTACAATTTTATACAGGGATCCTTGAGAGTCTTTTGGGATACCTTCTCAGTCAGGGCTTCGGCTTTTACTTTTGTTTTGGTATGTATTTTAATATATTCTCAATTATCTTCCAAGAGCTTTAGCTGGTTTATAATAGAAGACTTATAAATTGAGGCCAATAAAACTAGAGTTCAAAAATACAGAAAAAATGATTCTAATACTTTAGATCTAATAAAAGATTAATAATGTAATCCTTTAATTTTGTTGTGAATTTCTTGGCATTCAAGGCAAAAAGAAAATTTAAAGGTTTCTATAATTTTAATGATCTTTTAAAATTAAAAAGGAAATAGAACTATAATAGAAATGTAATGCAGCTATTAAACAGATTTACCTTAGAGTGGTCTTGGAAGACTGAGGAACAGAGTCCTCTGGAGGACAATGGAGCAGGAAAATAATACACAAGCAAGCAAATAAAGCGGAAGCTGCAGGAGGCAGGAGCAAGACAGAGGTAAGTTCTCACATCAAAGACAAGATTCTTGAGACCCTCCCAACAGTTTGAGCCTCAGTTAGAGTGCTTTGCGACTTCAAACTTGGATACCTGCAGAGGAGCCCCAGAAAAGAGCAGAGGTGAATGTTCACTAAGGAAAAGGAAATGTATTGGTTTTTGAGGAAGGTAAATGAGTTTTTCAGAATGAAGTCAATCAAGTTTTCTCAGTGCCTTAATGAAATCTATCAAAAACTTCCAATTCCAGTAATAGAAAACAAGGTAATTCAGACAAAATCTCCCAATATAAATAAAAATATATTAAAATCTTCTTAAAGGCATCAAAGAGCTAATAAGACCATCAGGAATAACCAAGACAAGATCTAGGAGCAGACAGATAGCCAGAGAAATGAGTCCCGCATTTAAAACCACTCTTACCATGCTAAGACCAGAAAGGGATTTTTCACACAGAAGTAAGGGTAAATCAGAAATTATCCAGCCCCACACAGATAGCAGCATAGCTTTGAATTTTCTAGGTGACTCTTTAGCATTGAAACTAAAGTGGTACATATTAACGTCTCCATCTGATTAAGGTGATGTCATACTGCTTCTTCATGGCAAAAGCAAATAAAAACCACTCTAGGAAGTTACATCATCTGAGCCTAAAGTCATTTCAAAAATAACTTTTCAAATACAATGTCCAGGATATAATCAAATACAGGCATACCTTGGAGATATTGCAGGTTCGGTTCCAAGACCACTGCAATAAAGCGAATATCACAATAAAGCAAGTCATATGAATTTTTTGGTTTCCCAATGCATATAAAAGTTACATTTATACTATACTGTATCCATTAAGTGTGCAATAGAATTATGTCTAAAAAAACAATGTACACATCTTAATTAAAAAGTACTTTATTGCTTAAAAATTCTAACAATCATCTGAGCCTTCAGTGAGTCATAATCTTTTTGCCAGTGGAGAGTCCTGCCTCCGTGTTGACGGCTGCTGACTGATCACAGTGGTGGTAGCTGAAGGTTGGGGTGGCTGTGGCAAGTTCTTAAAATAAGACAAAATCAAGTTTGCTGCATCGATTGACTCTTCCTTTCATGAATGATTTCTCTGCAGCATGCGATGCTTTTTGATAGCATTTTACCCACAGTAGAGTCAATCCTCTCAAACCCTGCTGCTACTTTATCAACTAGGCTTAGGTAATATTCTAAATTTTTTGTTGTTATTTCAACAATCTTCACAGCATCTTCACAAGGAGTAGATTCCATCTCAAGAAACCACTTCTTCGTTTACCCATAAGAAGCAATTCCTCAGCCATTCAAGTTTTATCATTGAGATTGCAGCAATTCAGTCAGGCTCCACTTCTAATTCTAGTTCTCTTGCTATTTCCACCACATATGCAGTTACTTCCTCCACTGAAGTCTTGAACCCCTCAAAGTCATTTACGAGAGTTGGAATCAACTTCTTCCAAACTCCTGTTGATTTTGATATTTTGACCTCTTTCCATGAATCACAAATGTTCTTAATGGCATCTAGAATGGTGAACCCTTTCCAGAAGGTTTTTAATTCACTCTGCCCAGATCCATCAGCGGAATCACTATCTCTGGTAGCTATAGCCTTACAAAACGTTTTTCTTAAATCGCAGGATTTAAGAAAATCAAGTCAAAATTACCCCTTGATCCACGAGCTGCAGAAAGAATGCTGTGTCAGCAGGCAAGAAAACATTAATCTCATTGCACATCTCCATCAGACCTCTTGAGTGACTAGGTACATTGTCAATGAGCAGTAATATTTTGAAAGGAATCTTTTTTTTCTGAGCAGTAGGTCTCAACAGTGGGCTTAAAATATTCAGTAAACCATGTTGTAAACAGATGTGCTGTCAGCCAGGCTTTGTTGTTCCATTTACAGAGCACAGGCAGAGTATATTTAGCATAATTCTTAAGGGCCCTAGGATTTTCAGAATTGTAAATGAGCATTGGCTTCAACTTAAAGTCACCAGCTGCGTCAGCCCCTAACAAGAGAGTCAGCCTGTCCTTTGAAGCTTTGAAGCCAGGCACTGACTTCTCCTCTCTAGCTATGAAGGTCCTAGATGGCATCTTCTTACAATATAAGGCTGTTTTGTCTACACTAAAAATCTATTGTTTAGTGTAGCCACTTTTCATTAATGATCTTAGCTAGGTCTTCTGGAGAACTTACTGCAGCTTCTACATCAGCACTGGCTGCTTCACCTTGTACTTTTACATTACGGAGATGGTTTCTTTCCTTAAACCTCATGAACCAACCTCTGCTAGCTTCAAATTTTTCTTCTGCAGCTTCCTCACCTCTCTCAGCCTTCACAGAATTGAAGAAAGTCAGGGTCTTGCTCTGGATTAGGATTTGGCTTAAGGGAATGTTGTGGCTGGTTTGATCTTCCATCCAGACCACTAAAACTTTCTCCATATCAGCGATAAGGCTGTTTCACTTCCTTATCATTTGTGTGTTCACCGGAGTAGCACTTTTAATTTCCTTCAAGAACTTTTCCTTTGCGTTCATAACTTGGCTAACTGGTGCAAGAGGCCTAGCTTTTGGTGTATCTCAGCTTTCGACATGCCTTCCTCACTAAGTTTAATCATTTCTATCTTTTGATTAAAAGTAACAGATATAAGACCCTTCCTTTCACTTGAACACTCAGAGGCCATTGCAGGGTTATTAATTGGCCTAATTTCAATATTGTTGTGTCTCAGGGAATAGGGAAGGCCTGAAGAGAGGGAGAGAGACAGGGAAACAGTGGAGCAATCAGAACACACACAAAATTGATCAATTAAGTTCACCATCTTATATGGTGCATGGTTCATGGCACCCCAAAACAATCACAATAGTAATATCAACGATAACTGACTACAGATCACCATAACAAATATAATAATAATGGAAAAGCTTGCAATATTGTGAGAATTACCAAAATGTGACATAGAGATACAAAGTGAGCAACTGCTGTTGGAAAAATGGTGACAATAGAATAGCTTGATGCAGGTTGTCACAAACCTTCAATTTGTAAAAAATGCAATATGTGCAAAGCACAATGAAGTGAAGCACAATAAAATGAGACATGCCTGTATAACCAAGCACATAAGAAGAAAAGATGGTACACTGGGTTGAACAGTGTCTCTCTGGAGAACTCTGAAACTGCAAAAACAACAGACCACAGAAATCAACCCAAAAGTACTCCTCCATATTTGATTTATCAGATTCAGACATTAAAACAACTATACTTAACATGTTCCAGGAAATAAAAGCCAAGCTTAAAAATTTCAGTAGATAACTGAAAACTGGCAGCAGACCTCTCAACAGCAACATGGAAGCTAGAAGACAGTGGATTAAAATTTTGAAAGAAGTAAAATATAATATTACCAATTTAGAATTCTATACCCAGTAAAAATCCCACAAGGAAGACTGGAGTTACAGGAAAAAATAAATAACGACAAAAATGTTAAACCTGCAGATAAATCTAAATGAACACCATCTGTGTAAATAATAACAAAACATTTTAAAATACAAAAAGAATTCTAATACACACAAAATATGTAAGAATGGAGGTGGGTAAATAGATTTAAAGTGTCCTAAAGTTCTTGCATTGTCTAAGAGGAAGATATAACTACCCATTAATAATACATTTTCATGAAGCAAGCAGGATTTTTAAAAATTTTTAAGGCAGTCAATTAAAAGAATAATAAAATGCTATAAAATTCCTTGCAAAGACTTAAAAATGGAATCATAAAAATACCCAATAATTTCAAAAGAAGGGAAGAAACGAGAAATAGGAACACAGAACAAGTGAAACAAATTAAAAATATATAGGAAGATGTTGATTTATCCCCAAATAAATCAGCAATTACATTAAATTTAGATGAACTACATGCTGCAAATTTAAAGACGAAGATTATCACATTGGATTTTTAAAAATTAAGAGTCATATACTGTTTATAAGAAATAGGTCTAAAGCCTAAGGATATAGAAAGCTTGAAAGTAAGGAATTAAAATTTATATATCCTGCAAGCACAAGTAAAATAGAGCTGATAGAGCTAGATTAACAGAAGAAAATCAAACTTTAATGCAAAAAGCATTATTAGGCATAACTCAGAATGTATAGGCATGAGGTCAAGACATCAAAATTTTAACAAGCACCACTCTGATTCTTATGCACTCTAAAATCTATTTGATAAGGATATATTTTATAAGGATTATGGCCTGGAAAACAGAGGAATAAATAGTAAATCCCTAAAACTGGAGTTTCTCAATCATGACACTGACATTCTAGACCAGATAATACTTTGTTTTGGGGGACTGTCCTGTGCATTATAGAATGGTTATCAGGATCTCTGGCCTCTACCCACTAAATGCTAGTAGTACCACCACAACTCCTCACCTGTGACAACCAAAAATGTCTCCAGATATTGACAAATATCTCTGAAGGCCAAAATCTTCCCTGGTTGAAAACCATCACATTTGACCAACTTTTTTGATATTAATTCTCACAAGTCAGTTTCGATTTTTCAGGCAAAGTAAAGCAGTTATGTTTGTTAGGTAAAGTCCATAACCACCTATCCATCCATCCACCCATCCGTCCATTCAGCAAGCATTTACTGGGTGCCTACTTTGCAACAGGCACTGTTCTAGGGGTTGGGAATATAGATTAGTGAACAGAGACAAAAATCCCTGCCTTCACACAGCTTAGGCAGGGGGCAGGAGGGAGCAGAAAGAACTCATCTAAATGAAAATCAATGTTTAAACAGGCTACATAAGAGCTGCATTATTGGATTTCAATCAGAGCCTCTAAAATTTTTCTCATTTTTTATTAGGTTTACTCCTTGAAAAATACTAACTCTCACTTTGAAACCATCTAAACTCCACTTTTATCACAAGGCAGAAAAGCTAGGAGCTCTGACACTGACTGCATGAGCAGCAAATAACCCTATCCTCCTTTCCTCCCAACAAGTGAGGCGGGTCTTACTTAAATTCTGGACTCTCCATTTGGAAGATAAGCAGCATCCCTTTTATCTCCTGAATCACTTTCTTTAGCTACTTGGCTAGAAGAATAAAATTTTCAAGGGTAACTAGTGATAACTAAACTCTGTTCACTAACCACCATAGCACGTGGAACAGGGCCCTTTGCAGCACTTACAGGCATCCAGGACCAGCCTGTCTTTAATTCTGATAGGAGCACATACAGAAGTAGAAAGGCAGAGCTCAGATTATTTAATTTAGCTAAACAGAGAAAAACAGTTATACCCCCTAACTTAATTGAGCCCTCAATTTTTGAACCAGTTTTAACAAAACCCTCATTGTATCCAGGGTAATATGTTATGAATTTTCTCTATGCTTTTCCTTTCAAAAAAGTCTATCTCATGAAATTTTAGAATTAGAATGGCAAAAGAAGCAATCACATATAATTCAACACCTTCCTCCTTGCCCACTCCCCATATAAGAAACAGCAGAAAATATGATCTCATTCTTATAAAAGTAGTGACAGGCAAAGCATTTAGTCAAGTTCTGGAACCCACCAATTCTACATTAGCTAAGCTTACATCACTTACATAAAACCTCAGAGCCCACAAGAGGTTTTCATTAGGCAAGCATTGGCTTGTGTCCCATTTTTTTAAAGGTCACTGAGTGTTGTTTTAAATGTGTATCTCCTAATAAACTGAGCCACTGAAGGAAGCACTGACAACCAAAGAAAAATACACTATTTTCAAATTAAGGTCAAATTTTAGAGAGGCATTTAACGAGCTTCAAGGATAGGGTACAGTTCTCCTTAACGTTCACCAGAGACAGAAAATAAACTCTAGATATGGCAACAAGAACAAAGTAGATCTCTAATGTTGCTATTCGAAAGGGGCAGAAAAGCAAAGGGGATGAGGTAGACAACTGGAATTTCTCATGGATATTTGAGCAAAGTGGATACTTCAAACCAAATCACTAGATTGTGGAGACATTTGGAGATGTCTTTGACCACAGCTATACGGACACTTCCCTGCATACCATTTTCAAACTTGCATGCTATTTTCTAATTATCTTGCAAAAGGGTTTCAAAAGTTTTGATAGAAGTTTTAATACAAGGTAAACATCACAATTTCATTTTCCCAAGAAGTTCCTCTCCCACAACTGTATTGTGCTTTTGACCACTCAAGGACATTTTTGATTATGGACATGCTGAAATTTGAAATAACCAAGTGTTCTCCAAGTGTTCAATCAATTTCACAGAAATATTTCTCTTCATCCAAAGCTAATGGCCTCCCTATGTATATGTGTACATATTTGTATACATGTGCACATATTTATACGTAACTGCTCATATATGGAAATTATTCTACTGAACAGGTCAGCTCATTTGGAAATGATGAGTCATTTAAAAATAAAATGGCTTTCTTCACTTGATTTTGTATTAAGCACAAAAAAGTAAAACAACAAAGACACTGGGAGCACTTACGAAATATTTAGGGTTTATGAACTAGACAGACATGGGGCCGAGAGTGACACTGAGCCAGGGTCTGCACCAGGCTCGATGTCAGGCAAGTGTCTGGAACCAAGGACCTCATAGCAAGATATGCTTAGACTGGCTGGATCAAAATCAGTCAGCACTGGCTATCAATAGAGAAACCATTTTAAACTAAACGTATCCAAGGAGAAAAAGGACATCAGGGGGCCGGCCTGGTGGCATAGTGGTTAAGCCCGTGCACTCTGCTTTGGTGGCCCAGGGTTTGTGGGTTTGGATCCCAGGTGCGGACCTACACACTGCTCATCAAGCCACTGGTTGGCGTCCCAAATACAAAAGAGAGGAAGATTGGCACAGATGTTAGTTCAGGGCCAATTTTCCTCACCAAAAAAAAAAAAAAAGAGAGAGGACATCAGGATAAGTAGTAGGCAACAAGTTAAGGGTCTAAGAAAAAAGGAGTGTAGTAATGAGGGGTCTTTCTTATTTTCAGAGAAATCCAGTGTGACAATCAGAAACCAAGTGAGCCAAGAGGCAGGGGGAAAGGATGAGACAGGAATAAACAGAGAATCAAAGGTGAAGATCCCAGGAAAGAAGAACCCACTTTCAGGTGACAGTTTATTGGTTCTGTTTTATCACCTAACCAAGGTAGGCCAGAGGAATTTAAATGGGTCTGCAGAGAAAAATAACCTGCGACAGCTACTCAGGCAAAGAGCACATGGCGAACAGGAAGAAGAGGGTGCTGCTAACACAGACTGCACTCGCCTTGCACACCGTGCTTACACATCAGCGGTCTCCCTGAGAGCTGCACGTTAGCATCATTCAGGTGTTCCCACGGCTCTGAAAGCCCGCAAAGACATCCCTTCACTTGGGACAGACTGAATGGCAAATAGCTAAGACCAAACTTTGAAATGAAAAGAAAATAACATTTAATATCTATCCCACCAAGCACTAGTAAAGGATTTATATACGCTATCGCATTTAATCATTTATTCATTCTGTATTTGCTGAGCATCAACTATTGTGTCAGACATTTTCCCAAAAATGTTAGGATACAAGTGTTATTAATATCCCCAACTTACAGAGGAAAAACATGAGACAGAGTAATTGAGTTATGTGCTCAAGGTCACACAACTGGTAAATCGCTAACCTAGACAGAGGCAATTTTTGTTTGGGAACAGTGGATTCAAATCCTCTCTTCGCCATTCAAATGATTTGTGCTTCTGGGAAAGTTGCTTAAATTTTTTTTCTCTCCTGTGTTTCTCATACTGTAAAAGGGGAAAGTGCTTGCACTGCTCTCAAATTTGATTTATGATTACTCTGAAGAATTCTCGAAGGAAAAAGGGAGAACTGATGAAGTGGAGTAGGTGCTGTAATCAGCCCAAAACAGTCCAAGCATAATTTTTCTCGTGACACCACCATTGCATGAGGCTTTTTCTCTTTGTATTCTTTTTTTTTTCATATAAAAACATTATGTGCCTACACACGTTACTTAAGATTCTTAACTCTGACACAGAATCTATTTATGGAGACCATAAATTCAAATGAACGTTAATATCATGAATTTGAAACTGTGAAAGCAAGCACCAACTGTGGAAAATATAGCATTGGCTATGACTTACATCTTTTTAAGCATATTTCTTCAATATCTACTCTCAGCAAGGCACTTTCTCATAAGTTGTCATTTTTATATGTGTCCTTGTAAATGTTTCAGCTAAACCTGAGTTTCAAATATGACCACCTTTATAAAGACAAAACACAAAAAGAATTAAAAGTTACATGGTGAAGATTTGGCCTTGCCAAACTTTCTCCAAAATAAAATCTAGTGTTTCAAGTCACATACTTAAAATCTCTCCAATGTTTAGATTGGCTGATGAATAAATGTTTAAGAAGTTATGTCAATGGCATATATGCACCAAGTACATCCACAGTGTGGCTGAAGAGGAGTAAGTAACATAAAAACTCAGCTTCCAACTTTATAAACATTCCTTGTGTTCACATATGAAAATCCCAGTTTCTATGTGAAGTATTTTCCAGAGTATACAAGAATTGAATTGTTCAAGGAATGTTCCCTGAGTATCATTTTACTCAAGGACACAGGGAAATTCTCAGAACCCAAATTCCCAGTTAGATGAAAGAAATGTCTTATTTATTTGTGTATAATAACAGAGACTGTCCCTGCCTGTCACTCCTGAGACAAAGAATAGATTCCTCGGTCTTTCCTCTCTCAGAGGCAAAGTTCTAATACAGGACCTGGGCTTGCAGCCAGAAACCTTGAGTATAAGTCCAAGTGTGGTCCCTAGACTTGCAGTAGCAGCATCACCTGAGAACTTAACAGAAATGCAAATCCTTGGACTCCCAACCTCCTGAATCAGAAACTCTAGGGGTGGGGCACAGCCATCTGCATTTTAACAAGCCATCCAGAGGATTCTGATGCACACTCAAGTTTGAGGGCAACTGCTGTGGAGTTGCTCTACTTCTCTGGAGCCTCAATATCCTCAGCTCCAAACAGGAATAATGATACCAAATCTGTCATCTTTAAAGGGCTATTCAATATCAAATATATTTGATAACATGCAAAGTGGCTTTGCAAATCTGCAAATGACTAGATAATTGCACAGAACTGCTTCAGAAAGATAACTTTTAATGCCATTTCTCAGTCTGAAAAGCAGTAATAATAGTTTAGGTGGTTATAGGTTGCTAATGAAGGATTCTCACCAAGAGTGTTACAGAAATATGAAGTTTTCTGTTAGGTCTGAAAATGTTTTATACATGATATTTGGTTATAAACTTCACATCAAAGATAAATGTCATGATGCCCCCTGGTGATGATCATTAAAACTTTTTCTCACTTTTGTCAGGTCAACTTTTTCTTCAAATGATTGCAGTTTGAAAAATAACTGGGCTCCTGAGGGAAAGAGGATCCACAGAAAGAAGATCTTTGCTTAAAAGATACAAAAAAAATTATTTCAAGGGAACCAAAAAACTCAGTAATTTACTTTTCTCCTTGTTGAAAGGGCTGAATCATAACTACTTCAGGGACTGAGTTTTCTATTCTTTCTTTTACAATCTAGAGAGAGGTTGGTAATCCTTTCCTCCCAGAAATTAATCCAAAATCCTTCTGCAGCAAATAACAACAAAATGTAATTTTTCTATCGTCAAAAGTTATGAAGGCAACTCGCCACTTTTCCCCCTACATATTTTGAATTCACCAATGAAATTATCACCTGCCTCCCTTCTCTTTCCAAGCTAATTAATGCCAGTATCTTTAATTTTTCTAATTTTAAATTTCTGTATTTTTTTCTTATGATGTCCCCAGGGCCCACTTCAATTTCTAGAGCTTTCTTAAAACACAAATTCGAAAGTTCCTACAAGGCAACATCCACATGTGTTTACTTGCCTTCCCAGAGTTCCCTAAAGGTAGGAATTCTTCAAATATTCATGCCCAACACGTAGAAGAAAGCCTGGCCACAGAGAAGGTACTTAATAAATTTTTGTCGAATTAAATTGTCATATAAGCCTCACATAGAAGAGTTATATCTATTACAGAGAAAGGTGCTAAATAGAAATACTAAAACTCATTGTTCTACCCAAGTATAATGGGTTGAATAGTGTCCCCAAAAAATTCATGTCCACCTAAAATGTCAGAACATGACCTTATTGGGAAACAGAGTCTTTGCAGATGTAATTAGTTAAGATGAGGGCATAATGGATTAGAGTGGGCCCTAATCCAAGAACTGGTGTCCTTATAAGAACACAGAGACATGTTATTTTAAGGCCCAGTTTGTGGTACTTCATTACGGCAGTCCTAGGAAACCTATAAACCAAGGATCACTGTTTCTTCACTGTCTGAACAACTGGCAGTGTTTCCGTATGGTCCACCACAGGCCTTGTTTCAGAAATATTACTCTCCCAAAAAGACATGCAAATAAAACACATTTTATTTCAGATCATCTTTTTCCCCAAAGGCTTGTTCACTCAAAATCCAAGTCCAATTCCAGCAAGAAATAAAAATGTAAGAAAAAGTGAATATATGATAGAGAAAAGGAAGAATATTCAATCATTAAAAATCACATATTTGAAGAATATTCATTTAAGGAAAGTGCTCAACATATAGTGTTAAGCGAAAAAGCAAGATACACATTTCTTTACGCATTATACTTTCAATTTTAGTTTTTTAAGTGAACATATAAAAATGAGACACTGGAAGAAAAAAATCCAACAGTAAACACTCTCTGAGAGGTAAACTTAGAGCCACCTTATACTTTGCTCTTTCTATACTTATTTATTTTCTAGATTTTCTACAATAAATTAGTTACTTCTATAATCAGAACAATGCTATTTACAGAGAATATATGAAGACAAGACAGCTAAATGGAAGGAAAGAAAATAGTTATCTTAAAATAAATCTTAACAACCCCTATTCATCCAAGAAGCACAGGACACTTTGCAAACTATTAAAATGAATAGTTTTGACATGTCTTAGATAGGAATTGGATATCAAATACTTTTATCTGAGGCACTGAGAATTTGCTCAAATCGTGCAGTGATGTATCAGATCAAGAAACCAGCCCCAGAGTTTTGCTTTCTCTCTACTGATGTTTCTACTACTAATGACACCTTTTGGATACTTAGATGGTACGTCTTTAAAAAGAAAAATCAGGGCCGGCTCCGTGGCTTAGCGGTTAAGTGCGCGCACTCTGATGCTGGCGGCCCGGGTTCGGATCCCGGGCGCGCCCCAAGGCACCACTTCTCCGTCCAGCGCGAGGCCGAGTCCCACGTACAGCAACTAGAAGGATGTGAACCTATGACATACAACTATCTGCTGGGGCTTTGGGGGGAAAAAATGAATAAATAAAATCTTAAAAAAAAAAAAAAAGAAAAATCACACTGGAAAATTAAATATAATAAAACCAATCCAGATACAGTATTTAATGTGAAAAAAAAATGCTTTAACAGACTTTTTTTTAAGAAACACACATGTAGAGGTCCTGGAATGGAGACTTTCATTATTATTCTGTATTTCTCTGTTGCTTGAAATTTTAAGAATGTATAGTTTATACAAGTTTTTAAATTTTTTTTAAAAGTTTAAATCAAGGGAAGAAAAAAAAGAGATAAGGGAAAAAACTAAAGCCTCCCATGTACTAGATCTGACTACATGGTAATAAAAGAATGAATATATTTCTAAAACAGCTAATTCACTATGTGATCATGACAGCATCTTTCTTAATAATTAAATAATCCAGAAATTCTTCTGATTCAACACATATAAATAAATAATTATAATAGTCTCATTATCTTACTGCAGCTCTTCATTTAATGTACACTCTTATACTAAAATCTTGGTGAAAATTCAATGTCAAATATTCAAAAGTCATGTGAATAAAAAAATACACTACTGTGAAATAATTGCATTTTCCAAATAACACACCAAGTTTTAGGTCATAAAACAGCAAAACATTCTCAAATAAAGACCTTTTTTGTAAAAAAATAGAAGAGCTGTGAGGTAGTAAAATAAGCTACTTCAAGACACTTCTGTAGAATACATTTTCAAATCTTTGAGTTAAGACCATAGGTAATGGGTACATGGAGTTTCCTTTATCTCTCCTCTCTGTATGTATGTTTGAAATTTTTCATAATAAAAAGAAAGTTTTTAAAATATGTACTTCACAAGGTTAATTCTTCCTATTAATGCCAGTAGACAGTGGACGATCGCTATAATTATATATTACTAGTAGTATTTCACTACTGGTATAGATTATATATACAATATATAATCATAATAGTTTCCATTCCTTGAACACTATGTACAAAATGTTTTATAATCATTATCTTACTTAACAACCTTATGAGGATAGTGGTATTAATATACCAATTTTACAGATGAGGAAACAGCAACTCAGAGAAGTTCAGCATCTTGTTTGAGATTACAAAGTTAGTAAATGGGAAATTAAGACATCAAATCTATGTATATATGACACAAAAGTCCATGTTCTTCATTTCTATACTATTCTGCCTCCTAAGAAGCATGGATTAATTGTTTTAAAAGTTCACTACCATTACTTTGAAACTTACTCTATTTTACTGATAATCATAGCATGTCCTAGAGTCAGTCATTTATCCTCTAAGTGTATGATTTATCCCATTAGTTGCTCCATCTATCAAACGTGGAAAATTTATTTTAACCACTTGGACCAAAGCCGAAATGAGTTCACAGGATGTCTTATTTCAGAGTTTTGACAGAAACTTCTGAAATAGGTGCTACAAACACAGGCAAAACTGACTGAGGTCCTGTCAAAATTACTCTAAATTAATGAGACCTAAGTAATCGTGTTTTATCCAAATTGTAAGTACAGAATCATTTGTAGAAGAAACTGTGAGTTGATGACACTGTTAAAGTTAATACTTAGTTTAAGAACATTATTTACTCAGTTAACAAGTACTTATTGAATTGAAATTCAAGACAATGTGCGTATAGAGGCGAGAAAGAGTATTGCTTCTGTTTGTTTTTGTTTTGTTTTGTTTTGTTTTGCTTTGTTTTGTTTTGTTTTGTGAGGAAGATCAGCCCTGAGCTAACATCCATGCTAATCCTCCTCTTTTTGCTGAGGAAGACTGGCTCTGAGCTAACATCTATTGCCAATCCTCCTCCTTTTTTCCCCCAAAGCCCCAGTAGATAGTTGTATGTCATAGCTGCACATCCTTCTAGTTGCTGTATGTGGGACGTGGCCTCAGCATGGCCAGAGAAGCGGTGTGTCGGTGCGCACCAACCCGGGCCGCCAGTAGCGAAGCGCGCGCACTCAACCCCTAAGCCACAGGGCCGGCCCTATTCCATCTGTTTGGAAGCCTCCAATCTAATGACAAGGCAGACTTGAAAAGAATTTCTCCACTATGTGGTACAAACCACACTGGTACCATGGAAGAGGTGGCACCAGAAGGCTACTTTGGGATTCAGGGAAGGCATCACAGAGCAGAGAGAACTGAACTAAGGCCTGTAGGATGAATAAAATCTTGTAGCATTTACCAGTCAATATTAACAACATCCAATTCTTATTAAACATTCAAAAGCATATATTTTTGGAAAACGCTTTGGTGATTCCGTAAAAAATTAAACATGCAATGACCATACAACCCACTAATTCCACCTCTAGGTATGTACCCAAAAGAAGTGAAAGCAGGGACTCGAACTGGTATTTGTACAGCCATGTTCATAGCAGCATTACTCTCAATAGTCAAAATGTGGAGGCAACCCAGTGTCCCTTGACAGATGAAAGACTAAACAAAATGTGACATATATGTACAATGGAATATTATTCAGCCTTAAAAAGGAAGGAAATTCTGACACAGGCTATAACATAGATGAACTTTGAAGACATGATGCTAAGTGAAATAAGCCAGTCACAAAAGGACAAATATCGTATGATTCTACTAACATGAGGCACCTAGAGCAGTCAAATTTATAGAGACATAAAGCAGAACGGTGACTGCCAGGAGCTGGAGGGAAGGAGGATGGGGTGTTAGTGTTTAATGGGAACAGAGTTTCAGCTGGAGAAGATGAAAAACTTCTAGAGATAGATGGTGATGATGGTTGTGCAACAACATCAATCTATTTAGTGCCAAAGAACTGTACACTTAAAAATGATTAAAATGTTACATTTTATGTTACATATTTTTAATACAATAAAGAAAACTGTATGTTTTCTCTAAAACAGACATTTTTCATATTTGAGTCATCTTCAGTGTAAAAATATTGCTCTAGGGGGTAAAAAAGACTAAGATTTCAGTTTGCAGTTGAACAATCAGAAAAAGTAATTCATGGATCAACAACTATTTATTGAATACCTTCCGGACTGATGAGCTTCTAATTATTTCCTTGCATGTGGAAACATGTTCACTCAGATATAAAAATGCAGTATGAAAAACTGCCATTTCTTTCCCAAAAGTTAGAACTTTCCAAGACCAATTGCTTCTCACTTATTTGAAATAAAGCAAAGTCAAAATTCACTTCCAAATGGAAAAATAAGTCCAGTTTTCATTGTTTATGGGTTAAAAACAACTAATAGAAGTGTCACTTGGATTAATTACAAGGGATAAAAACTTATGCTCCAGAAAGTAGTATTTCCACAAAGTCTGAGGTGCCCAAAAGCAGTGTGTAATAAAAAATGTTTACCCATAACTAATATATTAAAATATTTATGATAGCAATCAGAGTTTACTTAGTTCAAACAAGTTCAGCAGGCACAGAACAGAAAGAAAGAAATGGGAGAGAACAGGTTCTGAAATTCTAGAACAAAGCAAATCTTTGAGTCACTTGTTATAGTTCAAGGTTCCAATTACTAGAGGGTTTACTGGCTGCCCATATTTTTCTAATCCCAATAGCATAAATAAAATTATTTTTCAATTACAATAGAAGTTGATTCTACTTACTCTTGATGGGATATCTGAATAATATTTCCAGCTATGTCTAGGCTTTTTAGGGTTATAAGATCACATAGTCCCTGTGTCAGAAAACAAAAGAGAAAGAGAGTTTTTAAACTCTAATATGTAGAACCGTAAATATTTCTTTTAAGTTCAGACTTGATGGGGTTGACCATCTTTCCTAATTACTTGATGTATTCTTCAGTGCATCCTCTCCAATGTCCTGAATTGCCAGATTCTTTGAGTTAGCCATTTCTTCTGACCACTCCAGGGCAACACAATGGTGGCTTACTAAGCTCAAATCTCACTTCCAACACTTACTGTGTAACTATGAGAAAATTTCTTAAGCTCTCTGTACTTCAATTTCTCCATTTGTAAAATGGAAATATTAATAGAAGTCCCTACTTCATATGGTTGTTGAATGAATTAAATGAGTAACTAATCAGAAAGTGCTTACTACGGGGCCTAATACATGGTGAGCACTCAGCAGACATTACTATCATTAAAACAGAAAGAATGTTTGAGAAACAGAAAGCAGATGTAATCCTGGAAAGTTGTCCCTATTGACAATTCCACCAGCATTTATTTCACATTTGCTTAGCAGTGTGTTAACATAACCCTTTCCTTATAGAGGAAATAAAATCTGTTACTCTCTCTAACTACATGCCCAATGTGACAGTACATTAGCACGATATCCACATGGTTGTTATGATGCATCTGGGTTCTGATATTTCGCCTAGCAAGCAAAGGTTTAGTAGAATATTTTTTTAATTAGAAACACCAAAAACTTTTAAAAATTGAAAACTAAAGGTATGACTTATTAAATGGCTCCAACCACTTGTAGAGATATTTCTGAAATGTCACTCTTATTTTGATGTCTAAACCTCTCCCTAGGGAGATATGTCTCTTTAGTCATAACAATTGTCTTTTCCTCCTCCATCCTATCGCATGTTATCGCAGGTTGGGTTCTCCGTTAAGTAGATGCTGAGATGGAGTTTGGGGTGCTAAATGTTTATTAGGGATCCATCCTTGTAAAAGGCAGAGTCAAGAAGCAGGATTGGGCAGATAGAGAAGTCAAGGTGGGATATAGATCCAACAGAGCCTTGTTCAACTGGGTGAGGTACTCTGGAATGGGTATTGCCCATCCAAGTTGTTCTCCACCAGGCAGAAATAGAGTCTTTATATCCCTGCCTTGCTTGGTCAGAGGATGTGGGACACTCTAGGAAGAGTGTGACCTTGAGCAAGAAAGGAGGCTCCCTGCAGCTGAAGCAGATCCTGACAGAGCTAACAGCTGGAGGCTGTCGACAGTCCACACTCCCTATAGCTAGGCAGCAAGTCTCCTAAGTGGGATCTGCCATCTTCCATACACGTGGTCCTCTTCTTAAGTCCCACATAGCCTTCCACTGGTATGATACTCTCCTTAGTATTGTGTTAGCTACAGACATTTTCAGACTATCAATACGTTCTCTCAGTATTCACATATTAAGATAGAAGGGCTTCCTGCTGTATTTGCAAAACACTTAATATTACTTCTGTTGCCATTAATTCTTTCTTTTCCATTTGTTTGTAGTTGCTACCATGACTGTTGTTGCTGTTGCTGTTGTTGTTTGTGGTGGTGTTCTTTTTTTTTTTCTTTTTTGGTCTTTGCATCTGCATATTCCCCACAGGTTTTTAATGAAGGATTAAAAATTCACAAATAGGCAATTACAAAGTTGTGCTATGGGAATGATAAGTGTTATGAAAGGTTGAGGATAAGGTGATATGGGAAAAATAAAAGGTACATTTGATATTAGGAGGTAAGACAGAGCTTCCTGGAAGAAGTGAAGTTTAAGCTGAGGTTCTTTGAGCTCTTTGGAACAAAAAGTGTTCCATTAAGAGAAAACAGCTGCTTGGGGTAGAACTGTAAGAAGTCTAGTGTGGCTATATCACAGAGTGAGCAAGAGGGACTGAGGATGGAAGAGGTCAGAGTAGGAAAGGCCTTTTACAAACCCCACATGTATTAGCTGGGATTCTTTATGTTGCAAGTGAACAGAAATCCAACCCAAATTACCAAAAAGGTAAACTGACTGAGGTAACAGGGAACTTAAACAAAAAATCCTGGCATTGTGTATAGCTGGTTCTAGGTGCTCAATAATAATATCTCTTTCTTTTGTGATTGCATCATTAAAGTCATGCCCTCTCCAAGAACGGCAAGATAGACACCAGCAGTTCTGGACTTACATTCTTCCAATTTTGCAACCCCAGCACAAAGAATACATTTATTTCCCATCAGTCCAGCAAAGTCCTCCTTGGCCTACTTTAAGTCATATGCCTATCCTTGAACAAATCACAATGCCTAGTCTAATGGAATGTTTTGATTGGCCAGATCTGGCCTGACCAGTGGGTCAGGTCAGTACTAAGCAAACTCACAGACTAAACGTGGGGCAGGAGAACTTCACAAATCCAAATCATGATACCATTATGAGAAGAAGTAGAAACGGATGCTGGGCAAATAAAAACAACAGATGCCTGCTATACCGTGTTAAGAAGTTCAGATTTTATATAAAACAACCATACACTTCATGCCAACTACATAGTAGGCATTGAATTAGAGGCTAGTATTCATTATAACTAATGAAAACATGAATTTCATTTTTTTAATTTTAAATAATTTTTTTAGCCCAATATTTCCCAAAGCATATTCTGTGGGATATTAATATATATTAAATGGAAAAAGCATTCTAAATTAAATTCAAGAAACTTTAAGTAACAAGGTTAAACAGTTTTATTTACCATAGGACTTCTCAGTACTTTTAATATGCTAATGTTTTGTGAAGCTCCAAGAGTGGGTTACCACATCTCTGACCATATATTTTCTCAGAGGATACATATGGCCTGTGTTCTTTGGAGAACACTTTGGGAAATGATGCATTAGATCATATGTTGACCATTCTTATTTTAGATCCTAATTATGTATCTTTCTTTACGAATTCTGAAATTCTTTGCTGGAATCTCCAAATATTGCTGCAATTACCACAAATCTGGCTACCTTATTTCTATAGCAGCAAGTACCAGCAGTCTACATTTACGTAGTGTGATTCAAATATGTACCATGAATTATAATTTTCCAATATCATTTTACCTATTGAATCACAATTTCCTGAATGTCACCCTTACAATTACATAGAACCCTACCCTCTACAAATCAAAGTATGTTTCATACACTATCCCTTTTAACTCTTCTGCTTACCAATCAACAAACTCAGTTCCAAAGAAATTAACCTTTCATGACCTCAACTGCCATAAAAGTGGCAAAAATTGTGTCTTAAGAATACATTTCCCAGCTAACATCACACTCAACAGTAAAAGCTGAAAGCTTTTCCTCTAAGATCAGGAACAAGGTAAGGATGGCCACTCTCATCATGTCTATTCCACACAGTACTAGAAGCCCTAGCAGAGCAATTAAGCAAGAAAAAGAAATAAAAGCCATCCAAACCAGAAAGGAAGAAGCAAAATCCTCTGTTTGGAGATGACATGATCTTATATGGGGAAAGTCCTAAAGACTCCACCAAAAAGCTGTTAGAACTAATAAACCAATACAGTAAAGATGCAACATACAAAATCAACATGCAAAAATCAGTCACATTTAGGGCCGGCTCGGTGGCATAGTGGTTGGTTTGCACGCTCCGTTTCAGCAGCCTGGGGTTTGCAGTTTCGGATCCTGGGCACGGACCTACGCACCACTCATCAAGCCATGCTGTGGTGGCGTCCCGCATTAAATAGAGGAAGATGGGCACAGATGTTAGCTCAGGGCCAATCTTCCTCAGCAAAAAGAGGAAGATTGGCAACATATGTTAGCTCAGGGACAAACTTCCTCACCAAAACAAATGAAAAGTAAACAATCCTATTTACATTAGCACCAAAAAGAATAAAATATTTAGGAATAAACCTAACCAAGGAAGTGAAAGACTTATAAACTGAAAACTATAAAACACTAATGAAGAAATTAAAGGAGACACAAATAAATAGAAAGATATCCCACGTTTATGGATTGGAAGACTATCAATAAAATGTCCATACTATCCAAAGCATTTTTAAATGGAAAAACAACCCTAAAATTATACAGAACCATAAAAGACCCTGAGTAGCTGAAGCAATTGTGAGCAAGAAGAACAAAGCTGGAGGCTTCACAGTTCCTGATTTCAAAATATATTACCAAGCTATGGAAATCAAAAACATTATGGTAGTGACATAAAAACAGACATATAGATCAATGGAAAGAATAATGAGTCCTGAAATAAACCTACACATATATGGTCATCTGTTGTTCAACTAGAGTGCCAAGAATACACAGTGAGGAAAAGTTAGTCTCTTCAATAAATGCTGTTGAAAAAACTGGATATTTACATCCAAAAGAATGAAATTGGACTCTTATCTTACACTATACCCAAAAATAAACTGAAAATGGATTAAAAACTTAAATGTAAGATGTGAAACCACAAAATAACTAGAAGAAAACAAAGGGGAAAAGGTCCTTGACATTGATCTTGGAATGACTTTTTTGGATATGACAACAAAAGCAAAAATAAACAAGCGAGACTACATCAAACTAAACTTCTGCACAGCAAAGGGAAATCAACAAAATGAAAAGTAATCTACAGAATAGGAGGAAATATTTGCAAACCATATATCTGATAAGGGGTTAATATCCAAAATATATAAAGAATTCACACAAATCAATAGTAAAAAATAAATAACTTGATTAAAAAATGGGCAAAGAACATAAATAGACATTTTTCCTAAGAAGACATACAAATGGCCAACAGGTACATGAAAAGATGTTAAATATCACTAATTATCAGGAAAATGCAAATCAAAACCACAATGAGGCATCACCTCACACCTGTTAGGCCTTTATAAAAAAAACAAGAGGGCCGGCCCGGTGTCTTAGCCGTTAAGTGCGTGCGCTCCGCTGCTGGCGGCCCGGGTTCGGATCCCTGGCGCGCACCAACGCACCGCTTCTCCAGCCATGCTGAGGACGTGTCCCACATACAGCAACTAGAAGGATGTGCAGCTATGACATACAACTATCTACTGGGGCTTCGGGGGGAAAATAAATAAATAAATAAAATTAAATAAAAAAATAAAAAAAACAAGAGATACGTGTTGGTGAGGTTGTGGAGAAAAACGAACCCTTGTGCACTGTTGGTGGGAATGTAAATTAGCACAGCCACTATGGAAAACAGTATGGCGGTTCCTCAAAAAATTAAAAATAAAAACATACCAAAAAATAAATAAATAAATAAATACCATATGATCCAGCAATCACACTTCTGGGTATATATCCATAGGAATCTCCAAGAGACATCTGCACCGTCATGCTCATTGCAGCATTGTTCAAGACAAGGAAGATATGGAAACAATCCAGGTATGCATCGATGGATGAATGAATAAAGAAATTGTGGTATGTATGTATGTGCACACACATATACACAATGTAATATTATTCAGCCCTCAAAAAAGAAAGAAACTCTGCTATTTGCAACAAAATGGATGACTTTGGAAGACATTATGTTAAGTGAAATTGGTCAGTCACAGAAGGACAAATACTGCATGATTCCTTTTATATGAAGCCTCTAAAATTGTCAAAAATATAGAAGTAGACAATAGAATGGTGGTTCCCAGGGGATGGGGAGAGTTTCAACGGGTATAAAGTTACAGTTATACAAGATTAGTAAGTTTCAGAGATCTGCTGTACAACATAGTGCCTATAGTTAACAATAAAGTATTGTGCACTTAAAAATTTAAGAGTAGATCTCATGTTAAGTATTCTTACCACACACACACACACACAAAGAGGCAATGAAATATTTGGAGGTGATGGATATATTTATTACCTTGATTGTGGTGATGGTAACATGAATGTACACATATGTCCAAACTCCCAAACTGTATACATTAATTATGTGCAGTTTTTATATACTAATTATACCTCAACAAAGCTAGATGAAAAAAGAAAGCAAAAAAAAGAAAGAACACGTTTTATAAGTCCCTGGTCCATTCTTTTCCCAATGGATTATTTGCCTATACCCGAGACTACTTCAGAGAAGTAAAATAAAGTGTATGACCTACTAGGAGTGGAGTATAAAATATAAGTATAAAATATACATTCATACACATGTGCAAACATACATATAATTTATAATGTACTAGAAAATTATTAATAATCTGTTCTCTATCAAAATAAATATTTTCTGTAATGCCTTATCATTTATAATGCAGACCAAAAAGAACAATGATTGACCAAATCATATTAAATATACAAGGATATAAATGATCACGGGAATTCTTTACATGATAATTCAGGAAAGGACTTATTAGCATTTAATTTTTTAAAAAATCTAAACTTCTTGAGATTTATAAAACTGTAGTAAGAGTAATGATTTGAAGTATAGAATTTTAAGGCAGACAGACACGGATTTGAGCCCGTTCTATGACCTTTGTAAACTGTGTTTAACTTACATAACTTATCTTTTCCACATTCTAAAATAGGGATAATAAATCCCTATTATAAGAAATAGGTAAGAAAAGCTAAGTCACAAAGCTGTTATGAACACTAAATAAAATAATGTTTCATGACGATGATCCTGTTGCTGCTATTATTGCTTTTCCTTCAAATAAAGGAATTGCACTTTTAGTAGATTTATTGTGTAACTTCAAGATATTTTCTTGTTCATAGATATTATGATTTTTAAAGAATTCAAGAATAAAATTTTTTAAATGTACCTATTTACAGCCTACACCTTGGTATATTTTCACATATCACATTACAATGTATACAGAATTTTTAAAGGGAATACCCTCTTGAGAAAAAAATGAAATAGTAGGGATTTTTCATTTATATGTCTACTGTATTGATCTGCTACTTTTTTTATTCCTCAATTTACTATATGACATGCATTCCTTCCTATCAAGTTAATTCTAATTTGCATAAAGAAGGAAGGTAAACCCACTGGCAGGCTTCTAGAAGGAAACAGTACTCTCAAACTGGGAAATTTGAGGAGAGTTTAATAAAGTCACTATTTATAAAAGTTTGATAGGGTTTAGGGAAACCAATAACGTCCCCTAAACCAAGAAAGGTAGTTCCCTAAATCCACGAAGTTCCCTAAAGCTAGCAACAGCAGGTAGTTCTTTACCACGCTAGGCCTAAAGAGCCAAAGGGAGGTAGCAATGGTCCATATGAGGACCACCTAACACTAGCTGTGGCCTTCCAGAGAGCGATGCAGGCAACTCACAGCACCCTATCAGGGAGGGTACCTGGGGAATACCATCTGATACTCCATCTCCCCCTGCCCTTTCATCTCCTGCTCATGCCTCTCACTGGCCATATCCAAGAGGAAGCCAGAGGACAAAGGAGCTCATTGATGCCCATACAGGTCAGTGTCCCAGGCACAGAGAAGGTTGGAAAAGGATGGAGCGTGGATATGGAGGAAAAATGGAAGATATCTAGCACATATTCCAAAGCCAAAATGTACTTGTATTTTGTGCTGTATATCAAGTTGCCAGATAAAGTACAGGAGGCTCACTTAAATTTAAATTTCAAAAAAATAATGAATTTTTTTCATATAAGTATGTCCTGTGCAATATTTGGGACTTACTTATACTAAAAAAGTATGCGTTACTCACCTGAAACTCAAATTTAAGTGAGCTCCCTATATTTTTATTTACTAAATCTGGTATCTCTAGCTATGTGGAATAATCCAAGTTATAAACCTCTTCTACCATAAGGATTCGAGAACTGACTACATCTAATCAGAGGGAAAGCGAATGATGGCTTATACTCGGATGTCCAAACATATTCTATAACCACTCCCCACCATGTTGTAATGAGTTCTTCCCCAACAACAAAAAAAATTGGTTCCACATTTTGCTTACCTCTGGCAAAACTTCAATGTTGTTCCTGACCAGAAGAAGCTTCTGGAGCTTCTTCAGGAATTTAATCTCTTCAGGTATGCAAATGAGCTGATTGTAGTTAAGCTGAAGCTCAGAAAGATTCTCAAGGAAACAAAGTTCTCTAGGAATGCTGGCTAGCTGGTTATGACTAATACTCAAACGTGTAACACTTCTTAATCTAAAAAATAGACACAGCATATGAACAAACTCACAATAAGAAAGTCCATTGTACAGACACCACTTAGCAGAAGCTAAGTGTCAAGTCATCTTTTGTAGCTCATCTGAGCCTTACTTAAATCAAATATTCACAACTACTATGAATCATTTGAGCATAAAAAGTCTCTGTTGAAATTTTACTTTTAAAGATATTTTATAATCAGATGGCTCATGTTAAAAGTATTTTATGTAATCAAAACCTAGATTTAAGAAAAAGAAAATTCTGTTTTCATTCTTTTTATGTATACATTGGCCATATTGAAGAGGAAGCCAGAGGACAAAGGAGGACTCATACATATACATACATACATATATATACACACAGGGATACAGAGATACAGGTATAGATACAGATATAGATGATAGAGGTATAGATATATCCCTGACGATTAGTGATCTTGAGCATCTTTTCATGTGTCTGTGGCCATCCACATGTCTTCTTTTGAAAAATGTCTATTCAAGTTCTCTGCCTATTTTTAATCAGTTGTTTGTTTTTTTGCTAAGGAAGATTTGCCCTGAGATAACATCTGTTGCCAATTCTCCTCTTTTTGCTTGAGGAAGATTCACTCTGATGTTTGTTATTTTTGATATTAAGTTGTATAAGTCTTTATATACTTTGGATATTCACCCCTCATTGGATGTATAATTTGCAAAGACATACCTTGTCCTATATAAATGTGAGAACCACGTAGCTGCTGTGGAATATGAAAAGATGAGTCAGCCACACATTCTGCCCTTATGTATATCATGGTCTAGAAGGAGATATTAGAGCCATAAGATGAGGATAGAAAATGCCATTGGATGGGGAGAAAAAGATTAAGGAAACTTGTGTCCATAATTGCCGAGATTGTACCTGAGGTCTATCACAAGCTTTTTGGAAGAATCAATATTTTGAACTCAGCCCTGAATAATAGGATTTGTAAAATTAGGGCAATAGGAGGACATAATCAGCTGAGAGGGTGTTATGAATAAAGAAGCAGAAAGAAATTAGTACTATTGAGCACCAACTGTGTACCTGTGTATTAAATTTAATCTTAATTAAATTTAATTTAATTAAGCACAAAACTGAGGTTAGAATTATTACCCTTATTTTAGAAATGAGGAAAATAAGATTGGAGGCAGCAAATAACTTGCCCAAATTACCCATCTGGTAAGTAACAGCATCAAGATTCAAAAGCAGATGTACCTGCTTACAAAGCTAAGAATGAAAATACATAATGACCTCAACATTGAACGTGTTGAAAGTAAAGTAATAACAGAATGAGGTGACATTTTCAGACAGTTAAAAAAGGGAGACTGGAGTGGGCCCAGCCTGGTGGTGTAGCGGTTAAGTTTGCACGCTCCACTTCAGCGGTCCAGGGTTCATGGGTTTGGATCCTGGTGGTGGACCTACACACGGCTCATCAAGCCATGCTGTGGTGGCATCCCATATACAAAATAGAGGAAGACTGGCACAGATGTTAGCTCAGGGACAATCTTCCTCAAGCAAGAAAAGAGGAAGACCGGCAACAGATGTTAGCTCA